ATAAAAAACTGTTTTTAAAATGTTTTTTAATAAAGGCACTGCTTTTTAAAAAAAAAAATAATAATAACCCTGCACCAGATGCCCGCTCTAGTTAATGCCCTTCTTCTTCTTCATCAAGTTTTAGAATAAACTGCCTGCTCTGACAGACTTCCTTCCTTTAACCTCCTTCTCTCAATTCATAGAACAAGCTCCTCAAGACCTCTCACCAAGATCACTAATTATATCTCAGGGCTAAATCCAATGGAAACCTTTAAGTTGCTGTCTAGAGGAATCCCTTTCCAACACCTTTTACCTCTTGGTTCCTTACTACTGACATTCAAACATGCTCAAATCCTTTCATGTAAAAACAAAAAAGTAGGCTCCCCCTTTACCCACTCTTCTGGTAACCACCATTAACTACCACCACCAAATTTCTTGAGCAAAGCTGTCTCCACACCCTGACTGACTCGCACTCACTACTGACCCAAACCCACTCACTATTAAACCAAACTAGTCCTCTGGCTACAGTTCCCATTACCAAGTTGCCCTTGGCATTCCAACATTAGCAAGGACCTCTTGGCTGCCAACCACTCCCTCCTGGGTGAGGTTCCCTAGAGTACCTCCTCCTCTTCAGTGTGCCTGTCCTTCAAACACAAGAGTTCCTCAAACAACATTCTGTCCCATTCCTTTTTTTACTCTATACATACTCCTTGAATAACCTATCTACTTCAACAGCTTCTCATAATTATAAGCAAAGGCGGGTTCTGAAGCTTTCTCTGTGCACTGTATCCTGGGTGTCTTGGAGTCAAAAGAAATGCCCATTGAATCACAAAAGCATTAACAACTTAAATATTTATGTCCTAACAATTTAGTGCCCATTTGGAAAAAATATACTTAAACTGAGAGAACAAATGAATTTTTATTTCATTCTTAAATAATGGTAAGTATTTATTAATGATAAATACTGTTGAGCACTGCACAATTTCTTAAATCTTTTTTTTAATATTTATTTATTTTTAGTTGTAGTTGGACACAATACCTTTATTTTATTTACTTTTTTTAATGTGGTGCTGAGGATGTAACCCAGGGCTTCACACATACCAGGCTAGCACTCAACTGCTGAGCCACAATCCCATCCCAATTTCTCAAATTTTGGAGTCAGGTTGTACACTCCCTCCTTCAATTCCTGTTCCCTGCTGATTTTTACATGGTTCAGCAAAAACCACAAACCCCTCTTTACAGAAATAAGGCCATTAAAAGAAATGGAATATGATCTAGTTGAGAAACTTAATTTCAGATGGTAGTTTTCCCAGAATTGGATGGATCTGCATTTTATCAATGCATTTTCCTCAACAATTTAAAATATATCTCTGTCCCCTGTGAGCTCAATACAGCACTTCAGTCAGTCTGGAAACTGGTGCTAACAATTCTCAATTCTGTACTAAGATCTGCAGATATCTAGATTCTGCATAATTCTCTTGCACAAAGATCTGCAAATATCTAGATTCCCTAATGTAGCTAACTCAGCACTCTATGTACCACAGGCCTGCTACTTAATTACCTTCTCCCCTCAAATACTACTGTCTCCATCTGAGTACCCAAATACCCAGTGACAACCAAGCACTGCCCTAAAAGCCTTCCTCTCCCAGCTCCCCTGCTGCCCCCCAACACACACACTCAAACAAGCACCAAGTCCCAACCACCCTACCCTCTCAAATCCCTCCTTCTAGCCTTCCCCCTTCTAATTCATTGTCCAAAGGGCAAATCTACCTTGTCCTTCTTTGGCTCAGAATTCCTCAACTATCCCCTACTGCCCATAGATGAGTCCAAACTCTATATAACAGGAATCACCTCCATGGTTTGGTTCTAGTGTTTTCTCCTGTCTCACTTCTTGCCATTTTTTGGCCCTTGAACCACCACACTAAATCTGTGCTGTTTTCAGTTGCTCCAAGGTGCCACCTCCCTGACCAGTCTATTGTACACTTTTTCCTGAATCCAGACTTTCACCAATTTCTTTTCATACACTTCCTCTGGGAGGTCTTTCTTGTATCTCTGAGCAATTCCTAAGCTCAGATCTGTGGTTCTCCTCACAGTTCTCGTAGCTGGCCCATTTCAGAGCCAGCACTGCTACCAATGGTTAGAGTGTCTGAGAGCTGGAACAGCAAGCTCATCAGGGACCAACAGAGATGTTTGTCCTATTCATCACTGTATCCCTAGCACATATGACAAACTATTAAGCTGTACCAAAGGATTAAAACAAGTGAATGGATGGATTAGGTCATTCACATGAGGCTCACCAGTCCCTCACTCATTATGGACTCTATCGTGGTACATATCACACTGTTCAGTAACTGAGGTAGGTTATGAATATCTTTTTTTTTAATTTTTTATTTTTTTATTGGTTGTTCACAACATTACAAAGCTCTTGACATATCATATTTCATACATTAGATTGAAGTGGGTTATGAACTCCCAATTTTACCCCAAATGCAGATTGCAGAATCACGTCGGTTATGAATATCTTGAATGCTCTCATCTCTTATTTCTAGAATCTCAGTGATTAAAATAGTGCCTGGTATTTAGTTAGACATTCACTACATGGCCTTTTTAATATAAAAAGTTATTGAAAAATATCTGGAAGGATACACCTCATAGTAGGAATACTGCTGAAAAAAATACAGGATTAGGGTGACAATAAGAAGAAGAAAGAAAACTGATGTGTTCACCCCACATCTCTCTTTATCAATGTTAAGTTTATTTTACAATGTGCATTATTTATGTATTACTGTGTAAAATATGTTTGAATTTCCAGATTAAATTAAGTCATAGGTAAAGGACCAGTCTTGAAAAATGTACAGACTAAGCAGAATGTGATTCCAAACACCCAAATAAAGCAAAAAAATAAAAAAGTTGAAGAAGTACAAACAAAAAGGACTGAGAAGAGAGGATGAGCAATTTAAGGTCTATATAGCAATACTGAGCTACTCCCAGGGTAAAAACATAACCTATGAGTGTTCTTCAAATAAAAGTCCCTTAAATATAAAGAAAACCCTAAATTCTGGCCCAGGAGTACAAACAATTCTTTTAGTAGTTTAAATATGGATCCCAAGAGCCAAAAGATTACTTGCCACATGCAAGTTTCTATGGAAAATGTGTACAGAGACACACTGATGATGAACTGGGGCTACAATGTTGGCATGACCACTTAGCAAAATTATTTTTATTTTCTATTTTCAGAATTTTTACAATTAGTGTAGCACATCAACAATTAGGTCAGACATTTTAAGCAAACAGATAAAACAATGCTATCAAGCAACTTCACATAATCAACTGGAAACTTAAGAGTAATTTTTATATAGAGATAGTTCTAGAACAAACTTCTTCTCACCATTTAAGTGAACACAAAATACAGGTTCAGGCGGTAAATATAAAAAAAAAAGTCAGCCAAACTTTCCAACCTAGTGAGCTTTAAACATTTGAAAAAATACAACTTTCAAAAATATTAATTCCAATGATCCTTTAAAAGTAAAGACAAATGAATACTATAAGGAAGCCATTAGAACCCTGAGAGAAGGAAAAGCAAAGACAACACACTGAAAAGTGCCTTTGGGAAAGGTCAAACCAGCTTTGTCCTGTTTAACCTCTCAAGTAGATAAAAGAACTAGCTGTAAGAATCACAGCTTTGTTCCAGTGCTAGAAAAGGAAAGTTTGGTAAAGGATATACAAAAAGAAACAGCCGGAATTGAATAGAATTTACCCTAGAAGTGACAGAAAAATAAGTCAATTCTAACAGTTTGAACTCAGTTTTTGATAGAGTCGCAGGCCTTTGAACAGTTTTAGATAAACCTAACTTCTAAAATCAAAATATATCAAATGGCTAGCCTCTCCTTGACAGTCAAAATGTCGCGTTCTATTCTGCATTTGATTTTAAGAGCACCGACGCAAAAACAAGCCTTCCTAATTTTAAGTTTTTGAAAATTCATTCATTGCTGGAAGTAAACCACCAAATTAAAAATTAATCCTCAAATAAGAAAGGATTCCTTTCCACTCAATAGCGACCAAGAAAATGACATGCTCCCATTCATCCCTAAACCCTCGCATAGTTTCTTAATAATTAAGAACTCTGCTCATCATTAGGGAACTATTCCTTGCAAAGGCCAAACGAAGAGGAAATCGCCATTGCCCCCAAGTACCAAAGACAAGAGAGGGAACCCTTGTGCATTCCTTGAAGCTGGCCCAGGCAGAGCGAGGGTCAGACGCCACGGCCCCCTTCCCAGCGCAGGGGCAGCCCCTGGGATGATCCATCCAAGTCGAGCGGTTCCAGGTCACTCAGTCCTCTCCTCTGGTCCTGCAGCGCGCCACTGGCTAGCTGCCCCGACCTCTCTCCCAGCACAAGGAGAGCAGGGCCTGGCCTCCAAGGCCGGGGACCTCGAGTCCCCACTGCCCGAGGGCGGAGGCCCATAGCTGCCACACGCGAGGGCACCACGAGGGCGCGCCGAGGCCTGGTAGAACCCGACCCCATCGGCGGTGGGCACGCGGGGGCTGGGCCATGTAGGAGCGACCACACGCGGAACCAAGAGGGATGGATGGATAAAACGGTCCGGGACGCGAAGCGGCCCGGAACGTCGTGCGTGGGTCACGAGTAAAGGCCCGATTGAAACCTGCGGCCAGGAATGCGGACAGCTCTCCTGCGTTCGGTAACGCGCACCGACCATCGTGGGGGTCGCAGAAAACCGAGGGCGCGGAAGAGGAGGGCTGCCGGGCCGCTACGGCGGGAAGCCGCGGCTGACGCGGGAGTTAGACAAGAGGACGCAGCTGGGCGGCCGGGCGAGGCGAGGCCCTCAATGGGCCCCGCCACCCGGCTGGAGCGCGCGCGGCGCGATGCGGCAACTTCACTGGACCGCGGGCCGCTGGGGGCCCGACCCCGCGCCCGCCCCTCCCCAAGAGGCTGCCTGGCCTGGAGCCTGGAAGCAATGGGCAGCCTGGACCAGGGAGTCCAGCTGGCCGCAGCCCGCACTCACCGGTCCACGGTCCCACCAGCGGCGCTGGAGCTGCGCTCGGAGCTCCATCGTCCCGCCGCGCGGCGGCCGCCAAGCGCCCCCTCCCGCAACACTCCGCACGTAGCGGCGAGCGACGCTGCTTCCAGCCGGGCCACGGCCGCGGCCACGCCCCCTCCTGGTGGGGGCCTGCTGGAGCCGGAGGGGGGCTCAGCGCCGGCCCCACCAACCAGAGACCACTCACAGGGCCGCTTCGTGAGGATTGGCGAGCATCTTGGCCAATGGGGACCCAGTAGGAGTGCGGAGCGTCGGCGCGGGCGGGGGATTGCGGAGGAGGTGGCTCTCATACCTAGTCCTCAGCTTGGGAATGAGTCTTTGGCCATATCTTCTTAAGCGTGGAAAGGTGAGGATAGTTTGGGCCGAGTTCACCGCAAGTGCCCTTATGTTTCCTCTGGTTGCCAGGTACCCAATAAAGTCCCTTGAGTTTCCACAATTCCCTAATCTTAGCTGAATTTTGAGGGCTCCTGGAAACAGGTCTATCTGTAGGTTGTCACACATCCTGCACAGTTGAGGTTTCAATTAACCCTGAAAGGATTATAGCCCTCTTGCCAGTTGGCTTTATACCCTGCCCAAATCTGTTAGCCTTCTGCTTTCACAATCTTCCCCTCTTTCCCTCTGCAGACTCTTCTTCCTTTTATATTCGTCCCATTTCTAATTTCTGTCCGCCTTGCATGAGAAAAGCCTCAGTACCTATTAAAATATATTCCTGAACCTACCAATCTAAGTAAGCCCTGGCATAGGGAAACATAGCCAGGTGGTGCCAGATGACTGAGGTAAAAATAGACTTAAGAAAAAGGAGGAAAGAGGAAAGACAAGGAAGAAAGAAAAAAAAAGTATGCTTTCCTAGGTCTGGAAGAAAATGAATTTTAAAATATCTTACAGTAATGTTATATTTATTTTACACGCATGTGTCTTTTAAATTATTTACAAATACCATCACAATATGAAAAAGCACTCTTAGGAAAAGAATTTCAAATCCAAGAAAGAATCCAAGAAAACCTAATTCATCTTATCTTGCTCTTGTCTTCACCAGAGGTATGATAGGTATGATAAAGGTCCACATCTGTTCCAGCTAGTTACAAAGTAAAAGCTGGGGGCAATACGTAGCAATTGATAATTATAGCAAAATTCAAAGTATCAGAGGGCAGTAGAAAAAAATAAAACACCTCCTCATGCCATTCTATTAATCTACAGCAGTTTCAAAGATTTTTAAAGGTCTATTTTAAGATGACATATACTCAGTTTGTATATCATACCAACATGAAATGTACTGATAATTAATAAGGAAAGTAGGATTTTAATGAATGATTACAATGTCCTAGTACTTGAAATATTGATACATGATAAATTGCAGTAGAATTCAAAGATGCATTGACATTCAAATAAAAATGACTTTACTTCCTTTCCTCTTCATTTACCCAGGGAAATAGCTGTCATGTCTGTATTTAGGTCATTGATTGAAAAATATGAAGCCATGGGATGCCCAGAGTGTGTTTTCATAGTTGCTAGTTACATTTCCCTGGCCCCTCCTTTCCTCAGTAATCCTGCCTTACATGAATTGCTGCTAGGCTTAGTTGGCACCCCTATTAACTTTTAGTCACATGGTCCTGTTTTTTTTCTACAGGTCCTCTCCAATTAGATCATCAGTTCCCTGAAAGTAAGGTCCTTATTTTAAACTCCTCTTTCCTCCCCTCAAAATGGATAGGTCAATACTAGACATGTAGTACATAGAATTCTACCCTTACTATTGTGTCCATAATAAAAGATTGTTTCAAATATAGTGAACTAGTCCTTTACATAAAAATTGCTTAGAGTATTCTTGTTAGGGGACTAGTGCCTGCCACTGAAGAATGTCTCCTCCTTAGAGCTTGAAAAAGTGTAAATGAATCAGAGTGTATTGGTTGTCTGTCCAGAAACTTGACTAAAGTGCTTATCAGGGGCACATCTTTTCCCAAAACAAGAAGACTGGAGAGAGTCCCAGGTCTTCTGCAGCATCTTCATGGTGCCGCAAGTCTCAGGCTCCTTGTAGCCATTGGCTGTACTGTCCTTGTCATGAGGCTTCTGCCTTCAACCTCTGATGATGGCTATTCCTCTTCTAGGCATTTTGTCACATGCAGGGAAAATGGTGTGGGTGGTATTGGGAGACAGGCAAAAAGCAAAAGATCAAAAATATTCATGCCAATTAAGTCTGCCCATTTAACAGTCTTTCCTCTGTTTTCCTCTGATTATCAAGACCCATGTCACATGACCATCCCTGTCTGCAAAGGAATCAGAAATACTATTTTAAACAGGGTTTTGTTTCTAAAAGAACAGAGGAATGCAGATACTAGGTGTGGAAATATTAGCACCTGCTATAGTTACTGAATAAGTGAATTTGTGATTGAGCTCTATTTAATCCATCAGGAAGAACTACTTTTTAAAAATGCCAATGAATTTTCAATGAAAAAACTAACCATCTGGGCTGGGATTGTGGCTCAGTGATAGAGCACTCGCGTAGCACGGGCGGGACCCGGGTTCGGTCCTCAGCACCACATAAAAATAAAGGCATTGTGTTGTGTCCATCTACACCTAAAAAGTAAAAAACAAAAACAAAAACAAAAAAACCCAACTAACCATCTGATTTTAAAATGAGCAAAAGATCTGAACCGACAATTCAAAAAATAGGCATGGTGATATACAGGCGACAAATAAGCATATGCTCAACAACACATGTCATTTGGCAATTGCAAACTGAAACAATAAAATATCATAACATATGTACTAGGGACTAAAAAAACAAGCCAAATGCAGGCAGTGATGCAGAGCAATAGGAACGCTCATTCATTGCCGCTGGGAAAGATGCAATCACTTTAGAAAACAGTTTGACAGTTTCATATAAAGCCAGGTATAGTTTTACCATAGGACCCAGCAATCACATTTCTAAATATTTGCCCAATTGAGTTGAAAATGTTTTTTACCTTTTTATTCATTTGTTCTTTTCAGGTATACACAAATGTAGAGTGTATTTTGACATATTATAGATAATATGGAGTATAACTTACTCTAGGATCTCATTGTATATGATGTGGAGTTTCACTGGTCATGTATTCATGTAGGAACATAGGACAGTGATGTCCAATTCATTCTAACATCTTTCCTATTCCCATCGCCCCCTCCTATTCCTATCCCCCCTTCCTTCCATTTTTTCCCCTTGTCACCCACCCCATTGTATGTTAGCATCCATATATGAGAAAGAATAGTAGGCTTTTGCTTTGGAGAATTGTCTTATTTCACTTAGCATGATATTCTCCAGTTCCATTTATTTACCAGAAAATGCCATGATTTAATTCTTCTTTATGGCTGAGTAATATTCCATTGTGTATATATGGCACATTTTTGTTATCCATTCATCTGTTGAAGGGCACCTAGCTTGGATCCATAACTTAGCTATTGTGAAATAACCTACTGTAAACATTGATGTGGCAGGGTCACTGTAGCATGTTGATTTTAACTCCTTTGAATATAAACTGAGGAGTGGAATAACTGGGTCAAATTCCAAGGTGGCTCGACTCCAAGTTTTCAGAGGAATCTCCATACTGCTTTTCAGTTGGTTGCACCAATTTGCAGTCCCACCAGCAATGTTTGAATGTCCCTTCCCCGCCCCCACATTCTCACCAACATTTATTGTTATCATATTCTTGCCATTCTAATTGGAGTGAGATGGAATCTCAGTATAGTTTTGATTTGCATTTTCTAATTTCTAGAGATGCTGAACATTTTTTTCTGTGAAGTGCCTGTTCAGTTCTTTGCCCTCTTACTTATTGGGCTTTTTAAAAAGAAAAAATTTTGGTGTTAACTTTTTTAATTCTTTATACATCCTGGAGATTAATTCTCTATGTTCAATACATGTGGTAAAGATTTTCTCCCATTCTGTAGACTTTTATCACATTCTTTATTGTTTCCTTTGCTCTGAAGAAGCTTTTCAGTTTGAGTCCGTCCCATTTATTGATTCTTGATTTTACTTGTGCTTTAAGAGTCTTGTTGAGGAAGGAAGTCCCTAAGCTGACATGATGTAGTATTAGGCCTGCATTTTCTTCTGTCAGTCAAAGGGTCTCTGGAACCACTTGGAGTTGAATTTTGTGCAGGGTGAGATAGGGGTTTAATTTTATTTTGCTACATGTGGATATACAGTTTTACAAGCACCTCTTGTTAAACAGGCTATCTTTCTTTCCAATGTATGTTTATGTTCCCTTAGTCTACTATGAGATAACTATATTTATGTGGGTTTGACTCTGTGTCTTCTATCCTGTTCCATTGTCTGTTTTTGTACCAATATCGTTTTTGTACCAATATGTATTACATACAATTTAAGGTCTGGTATTGTGATGCATACTGCTATGCTTTTCTTGTGAAAGATTGCTTAAGCTCTTCTGGGCCTCATATATTTCCAAATGAATTTCATGACTGCTTTTCTATTTCTGTGAAGAATATCATTGGAATTTTAAAAGGAATTGCATTAAATCTGTGTGACAGCTTTGATAATATGACCATTATGACAATATTAATTCTGCCTATCCAAGAACATGGGAGGCCTTTTCATTTTCTAAGGTCTTCTTTAATTTCTTACTTTAGTGTTTTGTAGTTTTCATAATTCTGTAATTATTTCCTGTCTTCTACTGATTCAGGGGTTGATTTGTTCTTCTTGTGGAGGTCTTTCACCTCGTAGTTAGATTGATTCCCAAGTATTTTATTTTATTTGAGGTTATTGTGAATGGGAAGTTTTCCTAATGTCTCTTTCAGCTGATTCATCTTTGGTGTATAGGAACACAATTGATTTATGGGTGTTAATTTTATACCCTTCTACTTTGCTAAATTCATTTATGAGTTCTAGAAGTTTTCTGATGGAGTTTTTGGGTCTTCTAAATATAGAACCATATCATCAGCAAATAGGGATAATGTGAGCTCTTCTCTTCCTATTGTTATTCCTTTATTTTCTTTCTTTAGTCTAATTGCTCTGGCAAGAGTTTCAAGGGCTGTGTTGAATAGAAATGGTGAAAGAGGGCATGCCTGTTTTGTTTCAGTTTTTAGAGGGCATGCTTTCAATTAT